CTCATCATTTACCCCCTGACCCGAGTAGCTCTCTATATTAGTAAACTGGTTAGTATCATACCGTCCAATCGTTGCCATCGCTATTATGTAGCCCGTTTTTTTGTGGGATATTTTTCTCCGGACACAAGAAAAAAGCCCCTCCCCGGCCTTCCCCACAGATACGGCAGAAATAAGAAATATTCGAGCGCCGCACGGTGACGACTGTCTCATAGCCCATTGGTGAAGTGTAGTACCCACCAAGGTCGAAGCCAAGCGGCTATCCCAAATCCCGCCCCACTTCACTTCAACACAAGTACCGGTATGCTGCATCTCACACAGCATACCGCAACCCCATACCGGTACTGTACTATAGTACAGTACCATAACAGAATTTTTTTTTTTTTTTTTTTTTTTGCGGGGTTCCCAAAACCCCATATCATACCATAGCATAGTCTAAGCCAGTGCCAGCGACGCGTGCTCACAATTCCCTACAGTGCTCGTGAGAAATTTGTGACGTGACAAGGTAGATGATCTGGTTCAGGGTACCGGTATATTGGGGGCCCAGGCGAGTGGAACATCGTTGGCGACATATCTCTTCATGTCGGTAGGTTGTATGAGTTAGTGGACTACATGCTATATGCTATTACATATAATATCACTAGCTTACCAAAAAAAAAAGAAAAAGAAAAAAAAAAGGAAAAAGAAGAGCCTAAACCTTCCTTTATTTTTCTTTCTTGGTTGCTTTGCATGTTTTCTGCTGTTGATGCTTGATCTAGCGGTATGATATTAGGACTGCAGCCTAACAGGTATCGTCGGATAGAGAAATACCAAGAGAAGGGAAGAGAGAAAATAACTCAGAATGGAAATTTGTATGGGTGTAAATGAGGGACAATTGCAAAAAAAAGATTAAAAGTGAGAAGAGAAACACTTAATGCAATTTTTTAAAAGCAAAACTAGAGATATATCTGGGCCCTTTTGATTCAAGAAACTTTGCTAGGGAAAAGAAAAAAACTCCCCCGCTAGGTAAATTCCAAACTTACACTTAGAAACAAAAGACTTCCACTCAAAGCTTCCCACAGTGAGGGAGCAGCACGTACCTTGGTTTTTAGTAACTGTAACGGGTAAGGCAAATGTGAACCAAAAGAGACCCCCCTATTCTTCCAAACCACCGTAACCCAGAAGCAAAATCAGAACAAGAAATAGAAATAGCAAAGAAAAAGCGAATGCTTGCAACTCGCCCCTACGCCATACCCGAGAACCAAACCGTACCCAACAGACGAAACCAGATATGCGGGGAAAAAAATAAAACGGGAAAGACTCCCCAAAACAGCCAACTAGGAGAATCAAGAGAGGAAGGGAAAGGAAGAGAAAACACCCACAAAAGAAAAGTAAAAAAAATAAATAAATAAAATATAGCAGCTAAATATCAGCTATTGTGACTACAAAAATATGACAAATTTGAAAGGAAGGTTAAAAGAAGGAAATAAAAAAAGGAATTCATGGGATATTTATCACAACCAAAGAGAAGTGCGAGAAAACAAAAGGTACCTCAAACAAGCTCGCATGAACTATCAGTTTTGACGTGTGTAAGGACGATTCATTGTTGCAATCTCTCGTGCTATATGAGTCCATTCCAACTCACGCTTAGGTGTGCAACGGTTCTTAAAAGAGATCTTCTCTTCAAACTTAAGCAGCTCATACATGAAACGCAGATGGGGCTGAATGATAACGTTCAAGCGACGGGCACGAACATAACAGCTGATATCCGTTAGCAGTAGCTGTGAAAAAATAACCTTAGTCAGAAAACCTACTAGGCTCGAGGGAGCGAGAGCTTGAGGGCGCGCATGACCTCAGCAATGCATATTGTTGCTGACCGAGAGACCCCTACTCGGCAGTGTACGAGGATTGGTTCATCCGCATGGCGGCCTTCTTCTAGTAGGTATTAGTAAGGTACTAATATAACTAAGAGAATAATCAGTCAGCATACCAATGAAGTCCAGGCATCGCCTGAACTGATACTCTAGTGGGTCACATCCATTATCCTGCAAATCCTTAACAACCATCGCATTATCAGCACCCCATTTGCTTTTCTCTTTATCTGTCCAAGATAGCTCCTCCCCGATACTCAAGACACGCTTGATACCCAACGCAGCGAGTAGCCCATGGTTGTTAGCATGCTGTAGGTTCCCTAGATACATGTAGGATAAAATGCGGCTAGGTAGTGACCCATCCATGCGGTGGATCCATCCGGGGGGGTTGAGTACAGCATAGTTAAGACAATAGCCCTTATCCTCAGCAGCTGCCTCAAGAATCCGATGCTCAGCAAAGCGAAGGAAATGAAGGTCCTTTTCGTACGCAAAGAAATTTCGATTTTTGACGGTGTGTAGCTGAATCCAGGCCGAATGTGCGGGTAATCCTTCAGAATACATAAGATACGCCAAAGCCAGTAGTGAAGTTTCGGTGTAGCCATCGGTGCAATGGATCAATATCCGACGGGGTTCGCGAGGTGGCGTCATCGAGAGATCACCATCAGCATCGTGAGCCTCTTGATGCCCGCCATTTGCAACGGATTGTATGAAGCGGCAAGTATCGATAATGCCGTCAACTTCTGTAGCCGTATACCTCGGCGGTGTCATTGTACCCGAACCGGGAAATTCAATGCATTGGGTCGCATCCGTACGGTCCATGATCTCACCCAGATCTCGAAGGCTGTCAATTGACGGCAATTGAGCCAAGTCACTAGCCTCGATCAACAAACCATACGGCGGCTCATGCTCCGGCTCGGGTGCAGTGTCGGCGCTGGACCCTAGCCAGACATTTTTTGAGATCTCTGTTGCCCTGGACATGGAGCACATTTCCATTCTTTCCCAGTGACCTACAAAAATGTTAGAGTCTCTTATCTGCCAAGACTGACTAGAAATAGCTTACAAAAATCAATCACTTTTCCCGTCAAATTACCTGCCGAGTCTATGGTAACAATTTCCGGAAAGTAATTCTCAAACATGGAGAATGGGCCTAATCCTGTCAGCACTTTCCCGACCAAGAGAATGGATCAAGGAGAGCAGTAGCTCACTCTGAACAACAAAAGTGTTGTATATCGGGAACTCCCGCGTTGAGTTCCTTTGGTATTGAGCCCTGTATTCTAGTTGGGCGGTAGAGACCCGCTTTGCAATCCTGGTGATTTCCCCGGGATCGACATCGTTATCTCCGTAAATGATGATATCAGATAAACACGCAAACTTTCCCACTTGGATGTGAAAGTTACGAACATTGAACCCCTCTTTCGGGTCCACAACCAGAAAACCAGTGGTTGCCGGGTTTGACGGAAGAACCTCCTCCGGTGTGATAGCACCCTTCAATCTTGCGCAGGACATATCCCCGACCTTAACAATACAAATGCCACGATAACAAGTAGGTGCCCTCCTCATTGATTTCTTGCGAGCATAGAAGAAGGCAAGTTGCATCGAATTCTCTGGATGGAGACCATGGGCCCAGGGAAATAGTTGTTCAATGTCCGGTAAACTTTGCCTCGAACTATAGTTAAGGGAGGCGGCTACACCAGCAGCATCAATGGTATGGACGGGTGGGGATTCCGAGATTAGAGGATAGCTCTCCGCCGGGGATAGCAGAGAGGCCATAGAACGATTTCCTTCTTCAGACGAATGCGACTCCTCAGAATGAGGAGAAGCAGGGGGCGTAACTGGATTCCCGTAGTTGGGGGCCCCAGGTCCAGATACTGCCATGTGCTTATTCGGAATCGGGATGGGAGCGGTGGTGGAAGCGGCGCCGGGCAACGGTAGGGTTGGGGTTGGTGTAGTAGTAGGCATTGGGGGAGGAGTGGGAGTGTCCCTCGGAGGTTGAATGGCCACGGCAGCCATGGCAACCACTTTCTATTGCGAAGGATTGTGAGGAAAAGTGGAAAGTGCGGATGGTCGATAAGAGATTCTCAGTTTGTTATGCAGACCTCGATGCTTGGTGACGCTACCCGGACTGGCTTGCTCGACTACCTTGAAACCAAATGTCGGAGGATTGACACCGAATCGGGAAGTTATGACGCCCCAATATGTTGTGTCTGATTGATCCGAGGATCGGGTAGAGCGCTGCAGTGAAAGCAGCAGCAGCAGCAGGAACGGATATCAGAATGGTATTGGGTGAATAGATGGAGGTGGGTGGAAGTGTCGAAGTGTGAAATTTAGGGAAAACTTTGGCGTGGCAGTAGGGGTGGAATAGCGGGGTGAGGTGGCGGAGGGAGGGAAGGGATATGTAGCGGAATTCGTTGGGCGATACAGCTTTTAGACGGGAATTATGAGGGAGTGGGGTTCTTGGTGTGGTAAAGAGGAAGGGTGGAGGGTGGGTAGTTGAGTGTGAAAGTGGCGGGTGTGCTCCTTTGGCGTGAGGGAGGGAGATGGAGGCGGACAGTGGGTATGTGTGCAAGGTATGATATGTAGGAATATCGAATGGGTGTGGATATGTATCCTACCGTCGTACTGTAAGTAGGAGATACCGAGTGGGAGAGACGCAGCTACTAGTACCAGGGCCGAGACGGGAATGCAGCGCAGGTCAGTTAGAGTAGAGCTGCTGTCAGCGAGCACACCCCCAGGTTGATCCAGAGGTTTCAACAATTCAATGCACACAACTGAGAAAAAATCGATGAATAGTTTTTTCGTTGGGGGGGGGAGGCGTTATGAGGAGGAGAAACGGGAGTAGGAGTTTGAAATAGGAGGAAAGCACAGGCGGGTATGATACAATGAGGAGGGGAATAGTTAAAGAGATCGTGGTGGTGTTGACGAGGCGGGACAGAAATTAGCTTTGACGTCGTTGTCGTGGCCCCCCCCTCTAACAATTGGCGGGATAAGGAATGAGAGATGCGGATTGTCTCTGTATTTGCAGTCTAGAGTTTCATACCCACCCTTTTGGCTGTCTCTCACAGGTTACCGTATTGTACCGGTATGTCTAGAAGGTTTTCTTTCTCTCTTTCAAGCAGCGCAGCGCATCCCAGTAGGCAAGGAATATGATATTTCTGAAGCAGGCATACAGTACATACAGTTGTAACGTGTGGACCCGATCAACTTTAGCACAGCAACCATTTGCTGGGGGGGGGTGTAGAATTAGTACGACCTGACCGTACTTTCCACTTGCCTTCGCCTTCCCTCACTGTCACCCACCACACGAAGAGTGCACTTCTACCACACGCTCTTTTTCTCCATTTTGTTCTATTATTCGCATTCGCATTTGCATTCGCAGTTGCAGACACCCACCACCACCAACCACACGGACAGCAGCGGACGCACAGACAGAGAGAGATTAAAGCGTGAGACACCAGAAATCCCCCACCCCACTCTTTCTCTCCACGAGTACGGTACTCGAGTACGTACCTACCATAGACTCCTGGAGAGAAAAAATGAAGAGGAAGAGGACCTGCACTTCCTGCACTATACCTTACCGTTTTCAGAGGGACGATTGGTCAAGGGGGGCTTTGTTCCCGGTGAGGACCATTGTTTTAGTTGTGCAGTAACTTCTGGTGCAGGCTTCTTCCTTCCTTCCTCCATACCCTCGACGCTACGGTGCAGAACCCTATCTACTCGAGTACAGTACCGTACGTGCTTTTGCTTATCGCATTCGGGGGGACCGGGGGGTGGCCATCCCACCACTTCACACCCACCTCTAACTTTTCACTGCACGCATCAAGCGAGTGGATTACCTATCACCCACTCCTGTGATCCCTGTCGGCCGGTTATTATTGTACTGCAGCTTCAATTCTTTGAAGCGAAAAATGTAGGTCCGACGCTGCCAAGCAAAGACATGAATTATCCCTTGTGCCTGTCTTCCCGGATCTGTGGACGCTGAACGGTCGCGAGGCTGGAGATGGGCTCAAGGCCGGAAGGAAGAGAAAAGGATGGTTGGAAGGATGTGGTCGAGTACAGATGAGCGGGAACATCGTGGCGAGGCCCGACCGGGGCGGGCACCCATAACAATGCTCACAGAGCCATTCTGTATGGAGGCTCGCAGAAGGAAAAACCAATGTCGCTCACGAGGTTTGAGTGTTATTAGGACCACAGTACATTCTTACTACCGGTAGTAGACTTGGGGTGGGATGGTACTTTTGAACTTTTGGCTTTGCCTGTTTGGGAACATTTGTTTGGGTTTACACTTACCATGATTGTTGGAAGTTGGATGTGCGGCGCCGGCGCTGAAGATTGCAAAGATGAGGATACGCTTTTCCCTATCTAATGCTGTCCTTTTTGGTGGGGGTGATACGGTACTGGATTACTGGCTTCATGTGGATATTGCTCCTCTCTAACTCCGTTCAACTACCGGTACCGTATGTATACTGTACGAGTACAGTACTGTACATGGGTGTTGACCAGTTCCGCTAGTGTGATACAGGAGGAGGATTCAGGGTGGGGAAGGTTAAGGAAGCGATATTTTTTACCTTTCAGTTTACTTTGCTGTTTCATGTAAATTTGGCACATGCAAAAATGGTTAACTTATCATACCCATACCATTCCTTTCCTTTGCTCTATGATGCAATACTATTTTTCAGGTTGGGATGGTGTAAACCGTGCGTGAAGCAAAAGGTAGGTTCAAAGAAATTCGCACATCCGTAGTATCTCACAACATTATGAC